TCCAAAGACCACCTCTCACCACCAGCCCAAGTTTTGAGACTCAGGCTTCAACAGGGTGGCTCTCGGCCCCCACAGGTGGCATTGAGGACGCTCGCCCACCTGCAGGGCTCTGAGTGCCCGAGGGGGTCCCCAGAGCTTGGCCAAAGCCTCCCCCTCCTGCCAGCTGCTGGTCCTGCTGTGACTCGAGGGCTTGCCTCCCCCACTCTGTGGCTTGTTCTCTAGTGGGTAACAGGGGCTCTGGAAGCCCACCTCCAGCGACCCTGTGGGTCTCCTTGTTAAGTAGGAAGTCCTGGGGGCTGCCCTGCTAGGAGTAAGGCCACTGGGCTACGGCTGCGTGAGGCCCAGCCAGCTCCAGCACTCAACCCATCGGCGCGAAGTGCTCCGCCCCTTTGGGGAAACCCGCGGCTGGCTCTGGGTGGCCTCCGGCTGACACTGACCTGGATTTTACAATCATCTGCTCCCTCCGCTGCAAGCTCCCCGGGGCCACGAGGCCAGCTGCTGGCTGCAGAGAGTGGCGCCCATGGACCGGGCGGCCGTGACCCTGGCAGGCGCTCCCCCCGGGCGGCAGCCAGCCTGCCCACCGCCCGCCCCCACCTCCCGGGGGTGCCGGTTGCCTGAGCGCCTGTTGCAGCGGCGGTCTGGCTGTCCTGCTCCGAAGTGAAGTAAACAGAAAGGCACGCAGGACTCGCAGGCAACATGCAAATCAGCCGGAAAGTCCCCAGACAGCCAATAGGGTCAGGCGGGGCGATGACACAGGACCCGGCAGGGGACTGGCCCGAGAGCCGGGCTGAGCGGGAAGGACGAAGGGAATCACTTCCCGGTTCACAGGGTTCAGTGCACCACCCCAGCCCTGGATGGTGGGGGACCTTGGTCGTCCCGCCCACCCGCCACCCTGGATGGTGGTGGGGGAGCCTTGGTCGCCCTGCCCACCCGTGCACCCCGGATGGTGGGGGGATCCTGTCTGCCTGGTCCACCCATGCGCCCTGGATGGTGGGAGGACCCTGTCGGTTCTGTCCACCCTGGATGGTGGGGGGACCTTTCCGCCCCCTCACTCATGTGCCCTGGAAGGGGTGCGGGAGGGAGGGGACTGTCGCCCCGCCCACCTGGAACGCTGAGATTGCATCCAGAGCTTCTAGGAATTGAGCGAGATGCTCCCGGCCCGCCCTCCGACTGGCCCCCCAGGGGCTGCATTTCGTAACAGTCCTCCCCAGTATCCTCTTCCTGGAGGCCAAAACCCCAGCAATGCAAGAGCACAGCTCCGCACTCTGGGGGCTGGGGCTCCACGGAGGCCGGCCGGGGGTGTGCCCTGGCCCCAGGGGAGGAGGCCCCTTCCCCACCCACAGTCAGCCTGAGGCGCATAGGCAGGCAGGAAGTTGTCAAAAGACAGTGAGAATCCTCCCCCAGAGCAGGGAGGAGCAGCCCAGCAGAAACCAGGGCAGTACCCAGAGGGCTGTAGGGGCAGCCATGGTCAGCGGGGTGGCCAGACGAGGCCGAGATCTGCCTCGAGACAACTGCTCCAACAGCCCAGGCAGCGGGTGTGGTGGGGTGTCCCAAACAGCATGTCCTGAGCCAGCAGGGGGTGGACTGGCCTCTAGATGCCATCAAGCCAGACACTGGATGCTGTCTGCCCCAGGGAGGGGCATGGGTGGCCCCACAGAGCTGTGTGTGCAGCCTTGGCCTCACCTGCAGACCACAAAGCTCCGGGGAAGCCCTGCCTCAGGGCCCCCTGGCCCAAGCCCAGGCCAGGCTGCCAAGTCCTATAGAGACAGGCCTGGTTGCCATAGCAAAGCTACACACACTTCCCGTCACTGTTCCCCGCATCTCCTTAATACGCCTTTTCCATCCCAGACAGTCAGGCTGTGACTGTCAGGGGTCCCCTCAGACCCCAGCATGCCCTGGTCTGGGGCCTGCCCGGCCACCTTCCCTCCCAGCGCTCAGCCCAGGCCTCTGCCCTCTCTTCTCCATCCTGCCCCTGGCACCCACAGCCCAAACTCCATGGAGGTTTCAGAGCTGCCCGAGACACGTGCTGCGGCCTGCCCTCCCCAGGGCTCTGCCCCCTTGCCCCCTCCACCCAGCCTCCTGGCCTTTCCTGTGCAGGGGCAGCCTCTCCAGCCTGCCCGCCCCCTCCTGCACCACAGCCCAGCCTTAACCTCCACTTGGCAATGGAAATGCCTTCCCCTCCCCACCCGCCCTGGGGGCCAGCCTCATCCCCCCCAATCCTTTCTTCCCCATATCTGAGGACATATCTGAGGTCAGGGACTGGCCCAGCCTGGGGGACATCCAGAGGGCTTCCTGGAGGAAGGGGCTGGCCAGATCCAACGCAGGGAGAGAATGTGCTGGAAAGAGGTGGCATTCATCCTCCTCTCTCAGTGTCCAGCTGCAGGGCTGCTTTTTCCTGCCCACACCCTCCCTCCACCTCAGGGCCCAGCCAAGCCCCAATGGCTGTCCTAAATCAGGGGGCCTAAACTCATGGAGACAGGCCCAGGGCCTCGACCTAAGAGCCAAGTGGCTGGTAGTCCCTGGGCCCGTGTGCACCTCCAGGCTCCCCTGGCCATTGTCTCATTGCTCCCTGTGTGGCTCCTGTCTCCTGGGTTTCCTCCTTCTTGCTTCCCAGTGGAAGTCGGGGAGGGCATGCAGAATCTGGGAAGATCTGGGTCTGGAGGTGAGCAGCCCACGCCCCTCAGCCCTCGGGCACATCCCTCCAGTCCTGGTTTCTGCTGGGCTGCTCCTCCCTGCTCTGGGGGTTCCTGGGAACGTCCATCTCCCAAAAGACTTCCAGACAGCCCACTTCCTCCCGCCCAGGCGGCTAAGGGTCAGGTGTGCACAGTGACGTCAGCACCAGCCCCCACCTGACTCGACGCTGCTCTGGGGAGCAACCATCTCTTCTGACTCAGAGCGAGCACACGGGGACACTGAGGACATCAGTTGAGAGAGACTGGTGGGTCCGTCTTCATGGGTCCCCCCGCGTGAGCCAGCCAGAGGCCTGAAATGCTGGGTGCCCACCCACAAGTGCCAGGCTCCGAGAGACCTGAGTTCAAACCCCACCTCTGCCACTTGACAAGTGTGCAACTTCGGGCAAGTTGTGTGCCTGCCTGGTCCTCAGGTTTCTTCACCCATTAAATGGACTGGATGTACCCAAGTCTGGAAGGAACTATGAGAGATGCCATGTGAGTTAGCAATGAAGGCTCCACCAACATCAGCTCCTTCTTGAGAACTGACAATGGAAGCTGCAAGGTCACCGCAGGCACAGACAGCCATCAAGAAGTCAGGGACGAGGCTGACCAAAGTCCGGTTCCTTCTGCTTCCTCTGTGGCGGCCAGCGAACCAAGGGGCCCCACCTTGCAGGTAAACCAGCCCCTCCCCGAGTCAGCAAGAGGCTGGATCATCGCGTCTGGGCAGCCAAAGCCTCCAAAGTGGCTCAGGCCCTTCAGCCAAATCCTCCTCCATTTCCCAAACTGCCCATTCCTTTGTCCAGCCAACTGGCCAAGGTTCACACCCGAGTCTAAAGAAGCCAGGAGCGTGGAGAAGGGGGGCGGAGAGGAGGCAGAGTTGGAAGTACCACTGAGCTGCCCAACCTGCCAAAGGCACTTTTCTGGGGGTTCCTGCCGCCCCCTTAGGCAATACTGAAGACCATAATCTTTTCCATTTGTTTCCAGAGAGATCATGAAACAGGATCATAGCGGAGTCACTCCACAGAGAACCTCAACTCGAGCCCCTCCTTCCTGGCTGGGCTCTTATCAGCCAGGTAGCCCATGTCCCAGCTCTCCCTGCTCCGAGGGAGGAGGGTCTGGATGCAGGCACCTTGAGACACAGAGTTTCCAAGGAGAAGCTTGGATGCCCAGGGCAATGCAAGCGGGGATTTATGACAGAGAGGAGAAGAGGTGTGGGAAGGGAGAGACCCAAAGAAAAGAAACGTGGAAGAGAGATGCCGCACGCTTGCCAAAGGCCAGGGGTGGGCAGCCCCAGGAGAGGGGGCCCGTGTGTATATGAGGAGAGGCCTGAGCGATGGGAGGAGGGGAAAACTGATGAGCAGCACAAAGCTCTAAGCAAGGACATAGCACAGCGGGTGGAAACCCTCCCTGCTGCAAGAGCAGGGTACGATCCAGCAGGACCCCAGACTCAGCCCCAGCTGACCGTCCTGACCTGGCTCAAGACAACCTGGCCCAGGCAGCCAGACCCAAGTGAGGATTAGAAGAGGAACCCACCCCTGCCCCCCACACACACTCCAGCCTCCTCACGCTCTCCTTCCCCAGTGAAGCCAGCAGTCCATCCTCCGCACACAACCAGAGGCACTTGACTAGACAGACCTGACGCCGGCTCTCCTGTGCTCACATTCCCCAACAGCCTCCCTTGTGAGCACCACTCAGCCTCCATCCTGCACTCTGGCCTGGCCTTACCACTTCACCTCTCAGCCCATCGCCAGAACCCGCTGGCGTCCTCTGAGCTTTCTCATCCTGGGCCTTTGCAGTCCTTCTTCCTCTGCCCAATACGCTTTTCCAGCAACTTCCCAGGACAGGCTGCTTGCAGGAGGTGCCCTCCTCAAGCCCTTCAGGAGCCCCCAGTACTGTCTCTTTCTCAATGCCCTGCTTCTTTCTGTTTTTCATAGCACCTGTCACAGATCCTCATGACTGTGTCTGTGTATTGTGGGGGGATTCCCCCCCTCATCACCGGTTCTGAAAAGGGGGACGCTTGGAAATGGCTGGAGACATTTTTGGTTGTCACACCGGGGGCGAGGGAGGCTACTGGTATCTGGTGGGTGGAGCCCAGGGATAGTGATCAACACGCTACAAGGCACAGCGGGCAGTGACGATGGGCATGAAGTGCCAAGAGGGGCGAGGCTGAGAAACCCTCCTCGAGAAGAGCACAGGAGAACTGGGGTCTCGCTCTCCGCAGTCTCCCCGCCCCTGTGACAGTGCTGGGCACCCAGCGGCGAACCGTAAACGGGGGAAGAAAGAGCGAATAAAGAAGAGAACGGAGGAGAGGAGCGAGCGACGGCCCAGATGACAGACAAACGCACGGACGAGGGAAAAGCCGGCGCGCCTGAGCCCCGCCCCCCAGGCCCGAACCCCTCCCGGGGCCCCAAACACCGGGCCCCTTGCTCCACCGCGCGGACCGAAGGCGCGAGCCCCGGCTCCGGCACGCCGCGCGAACACTCACCCGCCCGTGGCCGCTCGACAACGGGAGCGCCACCCTCTCGCTTCATCGTGCCCCCTCGGCCGCGGGCCGGGGAAGGGACGGGCCGCTCGTGCCGGAAGCGCGCCGGCGCGGTGCCCGCCGGAAATTGTAGTTCCCCGGCTCGAGCGGCCCGAGGCGGCTGCCTTCCCCTCGGCTCTTCAGGAACTACGACTTCCGGTGGCTCCAGCGTCGCAGGGATGGATTGGTGGCTTCGGGATCACTCTATGTTGCAGTTCGGGCTCTGATTGGCTAGGTATTTCCGTCAGTCACAGCTAGGTTCAATGGCCTCTGCAAAAGGGTGGGGCTTAAGGGTGCTGGTCCGCTACCGAAAGCGATGCCAGGGCTCGGTTGGTGAAGACAGGAGGAGTAGAAAGAAGAACGTATCAGCATTGACGGGGGCGGATACTTCCTCCGGGATTGCCCAGTCGCAGAGCTGGAGCAGTTTCTATAAATGCTTGAGTCCCGCGGTTTTTCGGTCTTTCAGGATCTAGCACGCGGTGGAAGGTGTTGGTCTATGTTCAAGTGATGCACGTTGGAGGAGGGACCCTGGCCCGGCGGGGCCCGGGAAGGTGGTCTAAATTCGGCCAACCTGGCCCCCGGGCTCTTCCCTCAGCCCGAGCTCCCACGTTGATCTTCAGCTCTGTACGCTCCTCTGCCTCCTGCTCGCCCCAGTTCCGTCGGAAGTCCGAATTGTTAATGCTTCCCAGAGGTAAGGCTGGGCTGGGGCCGGCTTCCCAAATTCAGTTCCGAGCCTGTGATGAATTGCCTTAATTTCTGACACCTCGTATGAAAACTGCACGTGCAGTCTGATTATATTGCAAGACTGAGGCTTTAGGGGGCCCCCACCGTGGAAGGGCCTGGGGGTGAAAACACGTCTTGCCAGAAATGGCAGGATAGAGCATCTGTCTACAATTGGGCTCTTTCTGACTTTCAGGACTGTCGGTGACCCGGTTAGAGAGACCTTGAGGTCAGCGTCCTTCTAAGGGGCCTTGGTGCCCTGACGGGGATCCTTGGATTCCAGGTAAATCCAGGGCCTTTTCCAGCTGTGACTGGGGAATGTCTGGCTTCTCCCTCTCTTCCTGCTTTCTGCCTTGCTTTTTTTCTAAGTCTTCCCTCTTGGGAGGAAGGCTGGTGTTTCGTGCCTTTTGGGAAGATAATTTCTTGAACCTCACTCGCAAACTGCCTTGGTTTGCGATGTCGGTAGAATTTATACTTCCCTTTAGGCATTATCAGGAACGCAGGGTGAATGACTTGGGACCCTCCTGTCGCTCCCACTTCACCTTCGTGCCTTCGTACCACCTTCTGTTACTCCCAATTCCAGTTCCTCCAAGTTATTTTCATTCCTTCTGGGACCCCCTTCACTTCCAGCCTGTGCAGTATATTCCCACCTGCAAGCACCCTATTACCTAGTCAGTTCCATGCAGCCCAGTCCCCTGGGGACACACTCAAGTATAGGAAAATAAGAGAGACCTTAAGGTCAGTTCAGCTAACTGCTGTGTATCAAGTTTGGTACTCAAGATTTTCTAAAAACCCTTCAGAGGCTGTCCCTGAAAGAGAACAGGGTTTTCTTCCTCTTAGGTCACTTTCTTGATCTTTTTCAGTGTTAACTGGCTTTCAAATATACTTTCTCATTCCTTCTAACAGGCTGATCTCTCTGCTCCCTAGGGTCAGTCCCCCTGAAACTCGGCAAAAACTCAGTTACAATTAGGCCCACAAACACAAATGCCATAGCTCCTAGAGGTGGCCTTTGAAGTATTTAGTGATGGAGGAGAAGGAAAGGACTCACCATGAAAAAGCCAGGCCAAGGCTCAAACTAAATAGATGGCCTTTGCTCTCAGCAATGCTTCATAACCTCAGGGCAACCCAAAGTGGGCAGGAGAGGTCAACCATCAGTCTGGAGGTGAGACCAACAAAGGGGGTTTAGGTGTAAGCCAACTAACCATTGGCCAGTGAGCACCAGGAGGCCCCGGGCCATGCCCAGTCTACACACAGGCCAGTCACTGGGGATGGGACTGCCCTGGGTTGCTAAGGAGGGGCCCCTTCTGGGATGGCCATGCTGGAAGCCCAGGGATTCAGGTTGCTCCCCTGCCACAAGATGTCTGTATCCATCGAGGGGCCCCTGATGGCAGGTAAGAATATATATTTTTTAATACAGGAGCCACTTTGTCCAGATTTCTCATGCTGGGCCTCCTTCCTGGTGACTAGCTGATGGAAATCCTTGCCCCCTTTACTTCACTGAGCTCTCACATGCCTTTGAGTTGAGTGTCCTACTCCACTATCAAGGAGAGACCTGGGCTCCCTCCCCACATGGCGGTTAGGAGGCCTTTAGCAACCTCTAACCTTGACCCTGGCTAAGGCTGATCAACAGGAAGAGCGAGGGCCTGTTCCCAACCAGAGTCTGCAAGCTGTGAACACTGCAGTTTGAAACAGGTCCCTGGAAGGCCATAAATGCCCAACCGGCAGAAACTCACCTTAAGCCAGAAGCTGCCATAAGATTAGATGGAAAATGTTACAACCCTAAACAGATGCATTCTTAAAACATAGGCTCTTGGTGCTCTGTCTGAATCCAAGAGCCCCATTCTGTCAGTTAGTCAAATGAGGGATACAGGATGGTGTGAGACCTCAGCAGGAAGATGCAGTGGTCCCTGTACACCCCCTTGTGGCCAATCCTTATAAAACTCCCTGAAGATGCTATGTGATTCACTCTCTGACCATAAATCCCAGTTGACCCCTCACAGTATCAGATTGCCTTTGAGTAGACTAACCCCACCCTGGACCAGATGCAACAATGCACTTGGTGGACAGAAGTACCCACCACAGGGGTGTTGGGACATCAACACTTGTTTGCCCAAACCCTAAGAAAGGAATTAAAGAAGATATGCTAAAAGGGACTGTTCTACAGTCTGTAGATATATGTTGATATGGAGGCTCAGATGAGAATGACATTGAAGTTCTTAATTTCCTTCAAGCCTGGGGTTACCGGTTCTTCCAGAAAAAGGCACAGATTTCATAGCAACAAGTTCAATACATGGACTATATTAGAACTCCTGAAAATAGACAGCTGTTCTAAGAGAGAAGAGCTACATTAGGTTTGAGTGCCCCCAAAGATGTTTTTTTGTACTTACAAAATTAGCCCTCTCTAAAGCTCCTGCTCTGGGTCTCTTTAAAAAGCCATTTTGTATCTGGCTGGAAAGGAAGGAACTACTCTGGAGGGTAGGGTCCTAATACAGAAGCTGGGAGATGTTCCTCAGCCAATAGGCTATTTTTCCAAGCAACTAGATTCAGTGGCTCCAGGTTGGCCTGGCAGTATCTGCTGTCAATTTGATTACTGGAGGAGGCTAACAAGCTTAACCCTTGGAAAGTGAAAGTCAAAGTCGCTCAGTCTTTGCGACTTTTTGTGACCCCATGGACTACACAGTTCATGGAATTCTCCAGGCCAGAATACTGGAGTGGGTGGCTGTTCCCTTTTTTGAGTTGTCATATGATCCAGCAGTCCCAACTCCTGGGCACATACCCAGACAAAACAATTATTCAAAAAGATAACATGCACTCTGTTATAATGTCTTTTCATGATGAAGAGCAAAAAAAAAAAAATGGTTGCTTAAGTTTATTGCCATGCTCACCACTTCTGTAAACTGGCCTGCTTATTGCTCACCACCTCTGCTTCTGTGAACTGGCCTACTTATTGGATCAGCCAAACTGCTTAGGTGGGAAACTCACTAGGACCCAGAGCCCCATGCTATATAAGATAGTGGGAACAAAGCCTGTGCACTCACCCTCTGGAGGCGACTGCAGAGTCTGAACAGGTGCTAAATAAACTGTGCTGTTCTGCATCTCCAAGTGTCACTTGTCTCTTTCCCTTGCCATGGTTTCTGTAACAAGACATGGAAGCAACCTAATGTCCATCTACAGATGTGGTACATATATGCCATGGAATATCGTTCATTCAGTAAGTCCTGTCCAACTGTTAGGGAACCCATTAACTAGCTCACCAGGCTCCTCTGTCCATGAGATTTCCCCGGCAAGAAGACTGGAGTGGGTTGCCATTTCCTTCTCTGTAATGAGTTCTAAGCCAGCCTTTTCACTCTCACCCCTAAGTGGCTCTTTAGTTCCTTTTCATTTTCTGCCATTAGAGTAGTATTTGTGTATGAGGTTATTTCTCCTGGCAGTCTTAGTTTCTCCATGATCCAGTGATTGTTGGCAGTTGTCTTCTGCCTCTTTGAAGCCCAGCTTGTATATTTGAAGTTTCTTGGTTCCTGTACTGCTGAAGCCTAGCTTGAAGGATTTTGAGCATAACTTTGCTAGCATGTGATTATGCTTTTCACAGTGGAATACTATGTGCTCATTCGTGTCCAACTGTTAGTGACCACATGAAGTATGTAGCCCATGGAATATCGGTTCAGCCACTCAGTCCTGTCCAACTCATGTCAACGTGTCCAACTCTTTGAATGTTATTCAGCCATAAACCATGAAAGGCTGTTTACAGCAACATGGACGGGCCTAGAGATACATGTATGATGGGATCACTGCTGTACACCAGAAATTAAAACATTGTAAGTCAGTAAATGCTGAAGCTGAAACTCCAATACCTTGACCACCTCATGCGAAGAGTTGACTCTGGAAAATACCCTGATGCTGGGAGGGACTGGGGGAAGGAGGAGAAGGGGATGACAGGATGAGATGGATGGCATCACCGACTTGATGGGTATGAGTTTTTAAAGAACTTGCCACACCTTCAACCCACCTAAACCCCAAGTAACAGTAACACATTAGCCTTGACTCAGCTAGACAAGACTGTGTCCCTGGAATTCTCCAGGGGATCTTCCCACCAGCTGAGTCACAAAGAAGCCCAAGAATACTGTGAGTGGGTAGCCTATCCCTTCTCCAAGGCATCTTCCGACGACCCAGGATTCAAACCGGGGTCTCCTGCATTGCAGGCAGATTCTTTATCGACTGAGCTATCAGAAAAGCTCGGGAAAAAAACATTCAAGATGCCATGCAGCTGTATGGCATGTAACAATCCCCTGTAAAATTTGGGGCTGAGATCTTGCAGCTTGATAACAAGTAGCCATGAACACCAAAAGGTCCCAGCTTAGGCACGGGAGCAGCGGAAGAAGCGGTCCTGACACAACAGGTGACATTGACCCCGTCCCTTTTACTTCTGACACCCCCTTGCCACAGCCCCTGAGCAAACCTGGAGCCCGAGATGAGGGTGAAATGGGGATGGATAGTGGCACTTCCATCACAAATTGCTTTCCTTACCTATGGAAATTTACTAGAGGGCCATGAGAATGAACAATGGGAAGAAATACTGGGAAACAATAGAATGGGTAAGACTTAGGAGATCAAGAAATTTGGAGTTATCAAGGGAATATTCCATGCAAGGATGGGAAGAATAAAGGACAGAAATGGTAAGGACCTAACAGGCAGAAAAGCTTAAGAGGTGGCAGGAATACACAGAACTATACCAGAAAGTTATTAACTGGATAACCACAATAGTATTGTCACTCACCTAGAGCCAGACGTCCTGGAATCAAGTGGATCTTAGTAGGCATTACTACAAAGCTGCTGCTGCTAAGTCGCTTGAGTCATGTTCGACTGTGCAACCCATAGACAGCAGCCCACCAGGCTCCCCTGTCCCTGGGATTCTCCAGGCAGGAACACTAGGGTGGGTTGCCATTTCCTTCTCCAATGCGTGAAAGTTACTCAGTCTTGTCCGACTCTTAGTGACCTCATGGACTGTAGCCTACCAGGCTTCTCTATCCATGGGATTTTGCAGGCAAGAGTACTGGAGTGGGGTTCCATTGCCTTCTCCAGAGGCTGGTCAACAAGCCTCAAATCACAGTCTGAAAATGGGAGAATGGGTTGAGACCAGGAAGCCTGTCTCGGGCACCAAAGTCACATCAGGGACTTATGCTGCAGTGACAGGCTGTCCTTGCTGGACATGGCGGGGGGGTGTTTAGAGGATTGGGGATTTGTGGGTCACCCCCCAAAACAAGTGAAAGTGAAGTTGCACAGTCATGTCCGACTTTTAGCGACCCCATGGGCTGCAGCCTACCAGGCTCCTCTGTCCATGGGAGTTTCCAGGCAAGAGTACTGGAGTGGGTCGCCAGTGCCTTCTCCATACTACAAATGGCCACAGGACTGGGAATGGTCAGTTTTCATTCCAGTCCCTGTGAAAGTCGCTCAGTCATGTCTTGCTCTTTGTGACCCCATGGACTATACAATCCGTGGAATTCTCCAGGCCAGAATACTGGAGTGGGTAGCCTTTCCCTTCTCCAGGGATGGAACCCAGGTCTTATGCGTTGTAGGTGGATTTTTCACCAGCTTAGCCACAGGGGAAGCCCAGAGGCGGTGCTAAAGAATGTGCAGACTACTGCACGACTGTGCTCATTTCACACGAGGGCAAGGTCTCAGCAATACATGAACCCAGGACTGGTACAAACTGGGTTTCGGAAAGGCAACATCCAGAGATCAAATTGCCAATGGTGGTGCCCCCAAGGTCAGCTGGCCTAAGGGATCTCTATCTCCTGGGTAGGCCTGGCACCAAGTGCCTAGTACACAGTTTTTGCCTCCGCCAAAGACTTTGAAAAGGCTTACACAGTGATGGGGTCTTCTCAAACTGCACCAGAACCCCCACCCAGGGCCTGTACCCCTCCCAGACATCTATTTCTTGGTAGTCAATAGAAACTGACTGCCCTCTTCAACAGACCACAACCCCCCTTTCCCAGGATTTGCTGGGGCCTTTGCTGGTATAGACGATGCTCTGTTTATGAGACAATGTACAAGAGGCCAACTGAGTAGTCAAAGGAACCTGGTGTCGCCATCTATAACACCCACCCTGGGGAGAAGGGCAGTTGGCCTTGTTTCAGCAGGGGCTGGAGCTCTCTGTGGTGGGGCCGCCCAAGATGTCCTGTCTGCCATGAGTGAATCCACCTGGAACTCACTGCAGGCTGTCACTGTCTCTTAAGTTCCTGGGCTGATGAAGTGACTGATAACAGACTGGCCTTGTTCTTCCTCCTAGCTGAACAAGGGAGGTGTGTTACATCATGACACTGGGGTAGTAAAAGAAAATACACGACCATGCCAAGTGGCCTCATCCTTTCTGATGGGGTAACCCAAGTGCTGACTGTCTAGACTGTACTGTAATTAAAGGGATGTTGAGTAGTGTCTGGTTTTTAACCCCCATTCGGGCCTCTAGTTGCCATAATCCTTAGTATTTGGTCCCTGTCTTTTTAACCCGTTGAGTTTGTTTCTTCCAGTTTGCAACAATTCCATGCCAAGGTGATGGTGAGGCAGAGGTTCCAGCAGAAGTCACCCTGGACAAGGCAGGGATAGAGTCCCATGGTCCTAGTTAGGTAGGGGCCATGAGACTAGTGCTAGGCTGAAGAAGCTGCAGAAGGCCTTTAGCTCTCAACCTCTCTGTAGATTTCTTGGGGTCCAGCATGTGTGTGTGTTTTCACACCTGTTTGCACCCCAGAGGACTCCCTGGGATGACAGCCCATCCCTGGGCAGTCTTGGAGCAACATGAAAATGGAAGTTCATGCCAGTGATTTTCCACTTACTAGGACCACCTTTTCTAGGTTTTTGGGTTGTCTTTGCCTTGGGGTGGTTCGTGAACTCTTTAATTCGATACGGATGGTCCCAGAGCTTGTGGCTGTCTTTCAATGGATGAAGCAGGCACTCCAGAAAACAAACTTTATTCACCAGGACCGGAAACAAAAGCTTTTGGTCAAAAGACTGACTTGGAGTTTTTTCTTTAGTACAAGGTGGAGTGCCCTGCCCACCCCTGTGACTTGACCTCACTGAGCCCAGGCTGTGTGTCAGCCTGCTGAAATGGTACCCTGGTCCACAGGCAAGGCTGGTGGTCCTGGTTTCCCTGACATTTCCATGACTTCCCATGGGCTGAACACTGCGTTACAAAGCCATAGCCTTGGCATCCTCCAGGGGAATCTGAAAGACCCTGTTGATGTGGAACCGGGGCCTCCCATTGTGGGGGCTGGCAGCAGGCAGCTGTGGTCCTTGGGGTGCAGTGCAAGGTGGGATTGGTGGTGAAGCTCTCTGCCCCGGGTGTGGGCACGATCCTGCCCCTTCCTTCCTGGGCAGCAAGTGCAGCTGAAGACATGGCTTTCTAGGCAGTTAGGCACTGTACACGTTGTGTGGGTGCTGCAGCCCCCCTGAAAGTTGGGGGTGCCCATGGGGGGATGGAGGTGGCAGAGCCCTGTGGCCAGAGGGCCAGGCGCCCAGCAGTCTACCCTTCGGTGTCCCTCCTGTACAGAAGATGGTTGCCGTGGGGCAAGGCCCTCGGACAGCAGCAGGTGAAGAACTGCAGACACTCTGGCTTTGTGCAGCCCGTTTGTTGGGACCACGGCTCTGGATCGCTGCCCAGATGAGGGGTGGGCAAGGCTCAGCCTGGGGCTGACTGCTCTAGGCCGTCCAGTCTTCTGGGAGGACGCCTGGTGGCCAGGCCCTGCAGGCTCAGGGTCTGCAGCAGGAAGCCCCCCGACCTTCCCTTTTGATGTAGTCATGCAGCCGGAAGCGGGGCTCGCTGGGGGCCTTGGTGCAGCGCTGTTTCAGCTCCCTGTGGGGCAGGGATGACTGTGGGATGGGGTGGCCTGGACCCCCAAGGAGGGGGTGCAGAACCCTGGGTCTGGGGCTCCTCCTGGTGACCGTGAGGACTCACTTGGCTATGGCCGTGAAGGCCAAGTCCACATTGAGGCCCGTCTTGGCGCTGGTCTCCATGAACGGCAGCCCGTAGTCCTGCAAACAGCCGTGGGCAGCCTGGCAGGGGCGGCTCAGGCCCCACAGTCCCGGGGCGCTTGCCCACCATCCACCCATCCCCAGCTCACCTTGGCCAGCTTCTCCGCGTCCTCCCGCTTTACTGCACGTTCCTGGGCAGAATCCACCTGGCGTAGGAACCTTGGTGAGAGCTGGCCCTGGCACCCCCCACCCCCACCCCCGGCTCCCCTGCGAGGCTAGAGTGCCCACCTTATTCCCCAGCAGCATGAGAACCACATCGTCCTGGGCGTGCTCCTGGATCTCCATCAGCCAGGCCTGCGGGGGCGGAGCTGAGGCCAGGCTGGAGGCCAGTGCTCCAGGCACCCCGGCTCCTCCAGGACGCACCCCCAGAGTGCCTGATGGTGTCTGACCAGCAGAGGGGCCCCAGAACTAGTGCTCCCTGGGTGCCATGCACGGGCAACCCAACAGCTTCTTTATCTAAGGTGTTGGACTGGAAAGTGCCCCAGGACCCCCCTTCCGCTCACTCAACATGTGCCTGATGGGGCAGTCTTTCCCCCTCCCCGCTGTCAGGAGGGTCCTCAGCAGCCTGGGACCCAGAGGCCCTCTGTGCCGGAGGTGGCCACATCTCGGCCTGTCTCCCCACCGCCCGACCCCCGGAAGGAACCTGACCTGGATGCTGTCGAAAGAGGCCTTGTTGGTGACGTCATACAGCAGCAGCAGTGCTGGGGGTGAGGGGAGTGAGGATCTCCAGAGCCATAGCGCCTGCCCCCCACCTCCGCCTCGTGCGCCCCGCCCTTCTCGCTCCTGCCCCCCTCACACCCTGGATGCCCTCCTGGGGCAGAAGCCTGGGGGCCAAGGCCCCGACTCCCTGGAGCCGGTCCGGGCCCCGTGCTCACCGTGGGCGTCACGGTAGTAGGCGTGGGTGACGCTGCGGAACCTTTCTTGGCCAGCTGTGTCCCAGATCTATAGCCGGGACGCAAACAGCCATCAGTGCTGCCCGGGCCTTCCCAGGGGCCCCCTCCACCCTCTTACCTCCACCCCCCCCCACCTCTCACCTGCAGCTTTACCTTCATGCCATCCACGTCCACAACTTTGTTCTGAAACACAACCAGCCAGCTACAGCGAGAGCCCAGCACCGAATGCACCGTCCTAGGTGGCAGCTAGACCCATGCCCCTCCGGTGGGGTTGGGAGTTGGGATGGAGTGGATGGGGTGGGGGGACAGGCAGTGCCAGGCCAGGGCTGAGCCTGAGGTGAAGAGCTCCAGTGTACCCCCGAATCCACCACCCCATGCCTCCGCTGGTCAGGCTCTGCCCTCAGGCCCACCTCCTGCTGCTGGGCCCCTCCTGGAGGCTCATGCACAGCGGGTGCCCAGGCCACTCCCGCCCAGATGGCCATCCTGATGGACTTGAAGGTTGCCCCTCTCCATGGCCAGCTGTGTCCAAGTCTGGGCCAGGTGTTTTCCTCTGCCCAGCCTGGAGGATTGGCACACAGCCCCATCAGCACCCCTGCCCTCCAGGGCCCCCGGTGGCCGCCCACCCCAGTCACTGAGTCCTGTTGACCTGCACACCCAGCCCATCCCCTCTCCTTCACCCTCTGTCCTCTGCTCCCTGCTGCCCAGCCTCAGCTGGCTTCCCTGTGCCCACTTGCTGTTTCAGCTTCACCCTATATTCCTCTCCCCTGTGCTCTGCTCCTAGCCCCCAGGCCCCGCCCCAGGCCCTTCTCCAGGGCCACCGGCACCTCTCACTTGCAGGACTTACTTGAAGTCACCCACTGTGTGACTCCAGGCCTATTGCTAACACTGTGCCTCAGTTTCCCCATCCACAAATGGCAATAGCCAGGGTGCCTGTCACATGGCTGCCCCGGTTAATTTATGAGCACTGTGTGCAAAGCAGAGAGAACTGAGTCTGGCCCGGAGCAGGGCTAAGGTGGTCATTTAAAAGCCTCTCTTCCTGCAGCCCCCTGGGGATGGGCTCTGAGCAGTAAGCGCAGAGCCCAGGGCCTGGCTTGATACCCAGTGGGCGCTCCCTGTGGGCTGGCTGGTGATGCTCCCTTGCTGGGCCCTCCCAGTTCAGGACTAGAGCAGGCTCAACTCCGGCTCCCATCTGCCGAGGTGGGGGCGGGGACTGCCAGTCAGCAGCTGAGGCCCCGGGAACAGCACTTCCTCCCTCTGCACCAGCTCCTGCTGTCGGGGTGTTTCTGGGTCTCCAGGGAACAGCGCAGCCATCTGCCCAGCTGCACGGACATCCCACCTTCCCCGGCGCCCCGAACAGGGTGTGAACCAAACCGCCTCACCTCCCTCCGCACCTGCCCTGGAGCCAAGAGGGAAGTGACAAGGGGGAGGTGAGGCCAGGGCCACCTCCACTTCTGGTGCCTCCACCCTTACTTCATCCCAGAGCATGTGAGGGGCTCTACCCCAAAATGGGAGAGAGAGCGGCTCCCCAGACCGGAGGGAGGCCCCCCCCTGCTGCCCCCTGTGCCCAGTATGGGCCTCCTTCCCCGCCTTCTGCTGACTGGGTCTAATTAAAGGGTGAGAAAAATGCAAATCTGGGATTTGCTGAGAACACACCAGTACCCCAGGACGCGGAGTTCAGACGGGTGCCAGAGCCCATCAGGCCCAAAGCTGCGGTCCCCCGTGGCCCCGCAGGCTGCTTGGGGTGCCCGAGGGCTCTTGGGGAGCCAAGTCGAGGGCCATCCCCCAGAAGGACCCCAGGACAGAGCCCTGGCAGGGTTGAGGTGGTGAGGGGGTTCTAGCAGGGGAAAGCAGTCAGGGCTGGGGGGGCAGGGATCAAAAGCCTCCCCGCCCAAGGGCAGGGACTTCTCCCTGACTCTGGGACCAAGGGTGTGCTTAAGCACCACAGCCATCTGTCTAGTCGGACCCAGCACCTCAGGGCCCCTCCGCGCAGTGGGGCAGTGATGCTGGCCTCCCCAGTGGCCATGGGTTTTGAGTTCCCATGGGGGCACCAGGACGCACCTCCCTCAAGGCACAAGATCCAGCCCGCAGGGTCATGCCAGCCCGGGATGCAGGGGTACCATCTCTGCTTCAATCATATACAGCTGCCACATGACCCAGGACCCTTGAGGTGTTGGGAAGCAGGCAGCTTGGTGGTAAAGGCCTCCCAGCTTAGCTACCTTGACTGTGGGAGCCAGGTGGGCCAGCCCGGGGCTCCACCTCATGAGGCCGCTGGTCCCACAGGGTTAATGGAAAACCAGCTGCCAGGGGTGTTTCAAGAAGCCATGAGCTGGTGTTGGGGGCCTGGGGCATGGTTGGGCCCAGTTGGTGCTTGGGACGTCAGCGCTCTCTCTTACCCGGAAGTCAATGCCCACGGTGGAGATAAAGGTCCCCGCCAAGAAAGCCCCATCCTTGAAGCGCACGAGCAGGCAGGTCTTCCCCACGCCTGAGTCCCCCACCAGCATGACCTGGGGCACGGGGAAAGGGCAGAGGGCACCTGGGTATCTGGGAACCCCTCCAGGGGAGGGGCCAGTCTCCTCTGAGCTGGCCTGGCCAGAGGGGGCCCGTGGGTGAGAGGCAGGAGTGGAGAAGTTCTGCAGGTGCAGCAGGGCCTGGGGAGACATAGGGCCTGGACCTCTAACTGCCTCCTCTAGAAGGTTCTGTCCCCTCTCCATCAGTGGGAGGGCAGGAGCTGCTGCTTTCATGCGGGGCGCTACCTGAACACCATGCTTAGTCTGAAAGGGGAACAACTGGGAGCAGAACCAGAGTGTTGGTCACTGGGGGCCTCCTGAGAGGCCTGGGGTGGTGGGGGTGGGGACTCTGAACCAGAGGGCTTCTTCCATTCCTAGCAAGCCTCTAGAGGAGTCTGCCAAGTGAGGGTCAGATCTTGGCATGGGGAGAGGCTCAGGCCAAGTTTGTGGGCCAGGAAGGCATTCAAGCCCTTCTGCCCTCCCCCAGTCTGTTGCCAAAGGTTCCCAAACCCAAGGATGGGCCTGCCGCCCACTGCCCCCCGCCACCTCCCAGGATTCACCTTCTGCCTTGGCCTGAAGGAGGCCCCAGCGCGCCTCACCCAACCTGTGAACCCCTTCCTAGTCTCTTCCCCTAAAAGGAGACTGGGAGACCCTACGGGCCAGAGAAGGTAACATATGGGAAGATGAGGCTGGAGCCTTTGGTAGGGGCAGGAGCATCAGGGAACAAGGAAAAGATACCTGCCAGGCTCTGACTTCCGCAGAACCCCATGTCCGGCCCTGCCCGCCGGGTGTGGGTAGCAGAGGGGGAGAGGGCAGCCTTGCCATATGTTGGGTATCCCAAACCCGGGTTTGACAGCTGTGTGTGTGTGTGTGTGTGTGTGTGTGTGTGTGTGAGCGCGCGGTGCACCGCGCCAGCCTTGCCAGCTGCGGGGTGCTGCTCGGGGAGCCAGCTCCGCGCTGAAGCTCCGCAGGGCCCCGCACCCTTTCCCCGGACCCCCTCCCCGCTCAGCTTGGGCCGGACGCCACCTGCTGCACTCGCATCGCCTGGGGCTGGGGGTGCTCGGCTCACCTTGAAGGCGACGTCGTAGAAGTCGCCGCCGCCGCCGATCGAAGACCGGCCGGGCTGCGGGGGCCCGTTGGGCGGTGCCTTGGGGCCAGGGCGCGCAGTCCCGGGTCGCACCGGCCGGGGCCCGTTGGCGGCGGGAAGGGCAGAAGTAGCGGGTGCGCTGCCCGCCTTGCTCTTGGGGGTCTTTTTCCTGGACATGGCGGGCGGGCTGGCGGTCGCTCAGTGCTCTCCCGCTGCAGCCGCCGCGCCTCGGGACGCCCTGCTCCCCTCGCCCTCGGAGCCAGACCCGGAGCAGAAGCCGAAGCCGTCCCGCGGCGGCGGCGGCGACATCCCGGGCGCCAGGCTCCGCGCCGCCCCGCCCCCGCCGCCCCACGGCCGCGCAGCCACTCAGGCCCGGCCTCCAGCCGCCGCCGCCAATGACCGCCCGGGGGCGGGTCCATGCAAATGAAGCGGCCGCCCTGGGGGCGGGGCCAGGGTCCAGGAGCCAGGGTCCCTGCGCCTCTGCGCCAGGGGGGCGGTTATCGCCCTGCCCTGCGCCCAAGGGTCCCTCTCCAAAACTGCACCCGGGCTTCGGTGCGGGTGTGGGGCGGTTGGCCTGGGTGACCGAGCACTCGGGGTCCTGTAGCTCCTCTGCTGTGCACCACCCCGCCCCGCGCTGCCCCTTGCTCGGTGACCCCCGCCCCCGGACTACCTCCAGGCCCGGGACGAGGAGAGAGGGGGGCACTGAGGCAGCGGGCCTGCGTAGGATAGGCACCTGGGACTCGATCCCATCTCAGCCGGAGGTGCCACCTGGCCTGCTGCGGCACCACCCCCTCCCTTCCAGGGCAGGTAGGTCCAGGAAGCTCCAACACTCTGAGCTTGGCAAACAAACCCGGGTGCGCCCCGCCTCCTGGGGCTCAGCTGACAGCTGGTTGTCAGAGGCAGGACGTAGGGGCCAGGTTGAGCGGCAGGGCCGAGGCAGCCAGGCGCTCTCCCCCGGAGCTTCTGTTTGTTGGGCTCAAGCTTCAGGATCCCTGGGGAAAGGGAAGTCAGTGTCACAGCCAGTGGCAGGCCCTCTGAGCGTCCGCTCTCCTAGCGCTCTGCCCTCAGGGACCCGGGAGGTGAAGGAGGTGGGAGCCCAGGTTGTGGCTGGCTCCTGGGCTTTCCAATGCTTTCGAGTGCTGACAGTCGAGTGCTGGGGCCTGGCAGACTCCTCTGCAGGGCCTGGCACCTCTGTCCCAGGACTGCCACCCAAGATGCTCTGGGTTTTGAGGATGAGGCTGAGTTGGTCTGGGAATCCTGGGACTGGTGAGCCGACATGCCCTTCTCCCAGGGCTTGCAGGCTGCAGGTACAGATGAAAGGCAGCCGTGTGCTCTGCACTCCTCTGTCCTGAGACGTAACCACTGTAATTGGGACCCTGGGCCCTTGAGAGGCCTGAGCCCTCTCAGCTGGCTGCTCCAGGAGTCCAAATAATCACAGCGTGCAGACGCTGCCTCTGGGGCTCAGAGGTCTGGGCAAACACAGATGGAAGGCTGCCACCCAGCCAAGCAATTCCTCGAGAGGCCTGGCAGGGCCCTGCATGAGAAGGTTGGGGCAAAGCTGCCCTGCACTGAAGGCCATCATGTACTAGGTGCAGGTGGGTGCTGCTCTGGTGCCCTGACTATCAGATGGGAAACCAAGGCTGGGGGTTGTCAGGGGGCGTGGGGGAGAAAGACCCGGAAGGGAGCTGTCTAGTCACCAGGCAGGAAGCCGCAGAGCTAGGGTATCTATGTGGGAACTGCGGCTCTAGAGAGCATAAAGCAGGGCTTACCTAGAGGTTCCCTGGAGAGAGGCCCATCCCTCAGGGCCTTGTCAGAGCTGGGGACCAAGCTGAGGGCCTCCTGACCTCCTTGACTGTCTCTCTCCCCTGGTTCCCCAGTTCTTCCAGGTCAGTGCCCAGATGTGTGGTTGGTGAGGCCTGAGTTTGGGGTGTTGGGCTCCCACAGCCGTGGCCCTGGGGACTCCAGGTATCTCACTCCCACGAGGCTGGCCCAGGTCTCAGCGCAGTGGTGCCCACTGACCCTGGCATCCTAGTCCGTGGGCTCTCTTTCTCTTCCTGCCAGCTGCTGCCAAGGTATGGGAAGCACCAGGGGGTTGAGTGCCCTAGGGGTGGGGCTACAGATGAGGTGTCCTGAGTTGGGGGGGGCGTTGACTGCTGGTAGGGTAAACAGGAAGAGAGGAGGCTGGCAATCCAGAAAGAGTGGGAAGCTAGGAGCAGAGGGAACTGAAAGCAGTGGAGAAAGACTTGACCTTGCAACCTTTAAAACTGGGAGAGTATGTGAAAATTCATGTCTCTGGTTTCTCTTGAAAAGAGGGAATTCTGAGTCTCTGGCTTGCAGGTCCCCTCTGCCTTCCCTGCCTTCCTGCAGTTCTCCTAATCTTTGATGTCTTCTAGTTCCTCTGTTTGCCATCTGTCTCACCCTCTGGGATGTAAGCTCTCTGGGCACGGGAAGCAGCTTGTATTGGTCACAGTCATATCCCTGGCAGCCGGCTCCAGGCCTCAATAAACAGTTATGAAATTGGTGAAAGAAGTATGAGCTAGAAATGTGGGCCCCACTTCAAGAGGACACATTGTTGCCAACACGGATTTGAGGGAGAACATGCCTCCACAGGCAAAAAGAGTGTTGTTGAGTAGTGAAGGCAAGACCTTGTGGAGGCAGGGCATTTGCCCCGGGCTTTGAAGATTGAGCAGGAGTCCAACACGAGACAGAAACTTGCCAGGTGGAGGGAGTGAGTATGTATACATTCAGAGAGCCAGGAGGTGGGCACTTTGAGTAGAGGAGGCCGAAGTATGGTCCAATTGCTTGGAAGAAATGAGAGGTGATTCGATTGGTGACAAAGGAGGGGGCTAGATTGGAAGGTGAATTTAAATGTTTTTCCTAGGAGCTTGGGAGTTGTTCGGTGGGAAGTAGGGAGCCATGCATGGTTTCTGAAGAGAGCAACAGTGAGAGGGTGTTGCTAAAGGAACAGCGGGTGTGGCCAGGAGGAGCTGGGTGGTGCAGCGTGTGGACAGGGAGGTGAGTTTGAGGGGTCTGCAGGAGCCCAAGGAGGGCTAACGAGGATGGAGGGGAGACAGAGTCTGCAGGCCTGGAGGGGGCGCAAGAAAGAATCCGAGACCCTGCAGGGTGCCCGGCTGGATTCAAGATGACAGGTCCTTTGCTGCTCTTCCCAGTGAGGGGAGGGTCTATGGCGGCTATCTGTGACCGCTGTGACTGATGCAAGTGACCCTGGGCCTGTTTCTGGACCATGCCCTCCAGGCTGGCAGCTCTCCTTTCCTGGCCCCTCAGACATGCATTCTTGGGACCCAGCTGCCGTCCCGTGAGAAAGCTCGAGTGGCCTAGCAGAGAAGCCCAGGTGGAGAGGACCTCACCTGCCAGCCTTGTGAGCGAAGACACCCTGGCAGGTCCCAGGGAGAGGAGGTGAGCCCCGCCCATGCTGCAGACTCTGAGCACGTGGAGATGTCTGTCACACAGCCCTGGACACGGGCACCCAGCAAGGGGAGAAGCAGGCCCTGTGGTGGGAAAGGTCAGCAGAGCAGCTCTGGCTGGAGCTGGGGATCTTCAGACCTGGAAAGGAGATCTCCCCAAGGCAGGCTAGGTCCCCCAGGTGGGGGATGGAGCTGAAATGAACCCTGGGGCTGAGGTAGAGGTGAGGTTGAAGGCTGTGTCCCCCTGGGGAGGGGGTACCTACCAGTGCTCGGCCCTTCTGGCTTAGGGCTGGCCCTGCCTGATACAGAATCTGCTTGCAATGCAGGAGACCCCGGTTTGATTCCTGGGTTGGGAAGAGCTGCTGGAGAAGGGATAGGCTACCCACTCCAGTATTCTTGGGCTTCCCTTGCGACTCAGCTTGTAAAGAATCTGCCTGCAATGCGGGAGACCCCGGTTCGGTTCCTGGGTCAGGAAGATCCCCTGGAGAAGGGAAAGGCTACCCACTCCAGTATTCTGGCCTAGAGAATTCCATGGACTGTATAGTCCATAGGGTTGCAAAGAGTCCGACATGACTGAATGACTTTCACTTTCACTGCTGGGCGGGGAGGGGCTGCACGGTTCCACATCCCAGTAAATGGATGGAACCACCCCAGGAGTCACTCCTGGACCCTCTCTCCAGAACCCTCTGCTGGCCCGGACCCCTGGTCCCCTTGTCCGGGGCCTTCAGCTCCTACTCTCTGCCTCTGATTTGCCCGTCCATATGTCTGACCCCCTAGTCCTAGAGTGATGTGTGCTGTGAATACCTAGCCATGGAACCTTCTGGAACCTATGGCCTCGGGCAGTCTCTCTCTGGTCCCTGATTTTCCAAGCACTCTGGCTTCACTGCTCAGCCGTGGAGTGTGGCCCTCAAGCCAGGCAGCCTCAGGCAGGAATGAGAGTCCTCCCTGACCTTCCTTCCAGGCTCTGCTTGGATCCCCCTCCTCCGGGCAGGCTTCCTGGGCTCCTCGCGCCCCCAGTCTTGTACAGGCACGCGGACACTCACGCTTGCTCTCCAGTGGTTCCTGGGGGCTGTGCTGCCCCCGCGCATCAGTGAGGTTCCTGAGGACAGTGTCCATCCTGCCCACTCCTGCCCTCACCACACGCTTTTGAGGGTCAGCCCAGGACTGAGCAGAACAGAGCGAGGCTGGACTTCAGGCTCCTTTAGCCAGAGGGGAGGGGCAGAGCCCTCAGAACTTGTGCCCTCAGAACACCTCCCAAGAAGACAGTCCTGCAGAACTCAGCGGTCTGCAATCTCAGGGAAAGGGACCCTGGCTGGGAGTGGTGCCCGAAGGCAGGGGCCCCGCTGGGCATGTGGCACCCGCTGACAGCCCCCCAGGTATGTGGTGCACACTCTCTGAGCCCGCTTTCATCTCTGTGAGCTGAGGGGGTGGGAGGAGCTGATCTCCGAGGTCCCTTCCAGCTCAAACACCTTATGTTCCATGAGATCCGCGTGAACGTTGCCATGGAGATGTCAGAGAGGATCTGCGACAGCGCGGATGTGACTGAGGAGTCACCTGAGGAAGCGGCTGGTGTCAGAGGAGCTCTCCCCACCCCCCCGCCGCCCCCGAGGCCCTGGTGCCAGGGGGACACGCCATGTGCCCCGCACGGCCCCATGAGGCCCAGCGGGTATAAGGAATGCTTGTCCATCGCTGCCTACAGGGAGAAGGACCGACTGGCACTGGGGGATGTGTGGAACACAGCGCTGTTCCCTT